GGCTTTCTCGCCCTGGAGCTCGCAGGTAGCTATCCGCCACCTCGACCTCCGGGGGCGAGAAAGCCCCGTTCGTAAGTGCGGATCCGACATAAGTCGGATCCGCGTAAGTCGGGGACTGCCTGTATACCTGGCAATGACCTCTGCATGCAGGGCTTACCCACTTGGTTCTTGAGACCTGTTCTGGAACATGTGTGGGGGAATGTTTTGTGCCAGACTTCCCTCCATCTTCAGGTATACTGGTGTAAACTAGGGATACACAAACACACATTTCATACATATTGTTGTAAATGATATAGCCACTTCATTTGAAAGATCTTTATAAATAATTGTGTTGAAATGCCCTTGTACAGATGTTAGTTGGAGTTAGATGAGTTGAGGGGGCTTGTGACCGTCTCTTTAATTTCACTTTCAGTGCAGACAATGCATTAAAAGTAAAAATCAGTCTGCTAAACCACAGATCTATTAGTGCCTCTTGTCCCCTTGCTGGTTAAGACTACAACTCAAGAATCTCCTTATCTATAGGAATTCATCATCTTGCCCTAACTTCATCTATAGCATGGGTGGGGAACCTTTTTTGGGTTGGGAGCCACTGACCCACAGAAAAATCAGTCAGGTGCTGCACACAAGAGAAACAAGAAACCTTCCCTTCACCAGCATGGGCTCCCAGTGCCGGGGGGAGAGCCCTAAGCATCAGGGTCCAGATCCAGGCAAGGCCCCCGGGCCACCCCTGATCTACAGAGAGAGAAATTGAATGACTATACGGAGCTCAGTTTAATTGTGCATTAGTGGGACTGGAACAGACAGATCGGGGGAGATTTTACTTTGTCTTTTTACCATTATTTGTTTATGGCTCCTCTGTCCATTTCAGGGTATCATTAAAAACTACCCTCCTTGTCTTTAATTCATAATTTATCTATTTGAGACCCCCTTAATATTCTTCTCCCTCCTATACTTCCTACTTCTTCCATACATCTATTGCTTACTTCCTTTCAGTCTGGTTCTGATAGACTTGCCACTTGGTGTGAGAACAGTTTCCTTTGGTATATCTATCTGTATTAACAATTTTATGAATCATCTGCATTGACTTTCCACCTCTTCCACTCATAAATAATGTTTTTGCCTGGTCCCTCAGTAATATGTATTTTGGAACCATAGTGAATTCTGTAAAACATTTTTTATTCATTAGTATGAAAGATGTATCAAAGATGTTAATGTTCTTTCTGGTCTAAAGGGCAGCTAGTTGTGGGCTTTGAATGTCTCTGAATGCAGATTATGAAAAGAATCTTGGATTTCTTCATGTAAATATAATAAAACACGAGATATATATTGGCAAGAGCTGGAAGGAACTAATTCTTTGTCAGATAAATTGTTTGGTTAGCTCTGGAGTCAGCAGTGGCTAAATTGACCTTATATTTCAAATAAGTGACCCCTCTCCCCTCAAATGAGAAACAAAACAAACACTGGAGAGATCTTTTGTGAGGAGGATTGTTTATTATTTTAGCACTGGTGATGTGTTCTGCAAAGATACTCTGCCTTCAGTAATTCGATAGATAACATTTCATGACTCTTCACTTGTAATTCCATAATAATGGACTGCACCAACATGGGCCCCACTATTCTGCTACCTCCCCACATGAGTATTCACGTTGCTGTGTTGACTTTAATGGTCCTAAGCATGGGTAAAGGAGACCTCTCCACCTGGAGCATCTGGCAAGATCAGGACTTTTGTGTGAAACCAAAATTAAGTTTATGTATAAAAATTGCCTTAATTGGATATAGTTGAGGGATACAGTAGGCTATTGTTTGACCTGAGCAAAGCAAAAAATTAGTTACATTAGCAGAAAAGAGGTGGAGGTTGTAGAAACAAGCTAAACAGTTTTGATTGTATGACAAAGTATGGAGGATATCTTGAAGGACTACACTGAATGATCAGGTAACATATGAAACTGTTAAGGCAGCTGCTTTTTTGTATCTTGTTGCAATTGGGGAGCAGTTGTCACTTGCTTGTTTGATCTTCCATTTCCTTAGCCAGTTTAGGGTGTTAAATTCTATCTTCAAAGGCAGAATATCCTGAAAATCTGTGGAGAGAGAAAAGGGGCAACCAGACAGGTTTCTTTTTAACATTCCAGATCTGTTTAATATCGATATTTATTTATTTATTTACATTTCAATTTCTTAATTCTTTTAGATATTGGTATTTAAAAATGCACAATGGTGGAGCAATCTTAATTTAGCATCTTGCTACAAAGTAAATAGCTCACTAAAAATGGCTCATTGTGTTATGTATCGTTACTTGGGGGCTTAAATTACATGCTTATTTAGTTGTCGTTAGTTTCATTAAAGTAATTCATCTCACATTTTTAAAATTTAATAAACAAAGCTTCTTTTTAATTGATTTATCTTTCTAATTAACATGGAGTATTAGTCTACTATGCTTTAGGGAAGTATTCGCCTGCTGTAGGCTTTCCATAATGAACATTTGGCATGGTTATTCATGACTGCATTTTTAAACAGTAGCGTCTAGTGCAGGCAGTCCCCGACTTACGCGGATCCGACTTATGTCGGATCCGCAGTTACGAACGGGGCTGCCCCGGAGTACACGGACTGCGGGACCTTGCGGTCCTGCCGCCCGTGTACTCCGGGCG